GTCGTCTTGTACATGGGGGCGTCTTATTGATGGAAAAATACGGTACTTTTCTCAGTGTGTAGTATGCCTAAAAGCCTAAGCAAATATTCCGTATAGCTCTATTGACTTGAAATTTTTAAGCCAAAAAAATATTTTTTAATGGAGCATACCAAAATAGATAATACTGGAACATTACTTCTGGCATCTGCAAAGATTATGAAACCTTTCGATAATCTTCTTCTAACTAAAAACAGAAGAAAGCCTTGTGTCATTGGAGAAACTTGTGAAGTCTTGCATTATCAAGGCTGCCAATTGTTTGAGAAAATAGAAATCAGAAAAAAAAAAAACTTTTCTAATTCTACAATTGAGCACCACATTGATAATTTAGCTAAGCATATCAAATTCCATTTTTAGGAAAATATCACCTTGTTGTACTCTTTTACCGGCTGTGATGAATTTAGTGGTAAAGGAAACTCTGCTCAACTCCTTGTCTAGGCACAATAGGTAGCTAAAGAGAACACAGAAGATAATTGTTTTTTTCAAAGTCTTGAAGACATTTGCTATAGCTTCCAAAAGGTCTGATCTGAAACTGTGTCAAAATTCTTCATACCAAGTAATGTGAGTACTGTATGAAGAAACTGGATGTTTGTACTGACAGCACTCCAATAATGCTGGGGTTCATAATAAAAAATGGCAGTAATAGAAAATATTTTCAAACTAAAAACACAATGTCTCATTCACCACCAAATATTGACTTCCAAATTCTGCCCTTCAGGTGTGTAAAAAACAGCATAATCTTATTTGCTTTGTGAAGATTTGGGAGCTGATCAGAGAGTTCTGTTTCACACTGAAATGTGTTGTCAAAGAGAAATATACTTATACAGTCTGCATGATATGAAAAAAGAAGTCACCTTATTTTTGGAATGTGGAAAAGATCGAGTGTTTGAGGCTTACAGAATTTATGGTTTTCAGTTGAAGTTGACATATCTGGCATTTGAAGCTTTGAACACAGAAGCCTATAGCTTCAAGAAGCAAACATCAAAATGACTTATTTATTGCCAACCCCCTATCTATGGATACATTTGAAGCAGGTGTAAGACTTCATGCTTATCAACATGGGTTATAGTATTATGCTGAACTACACTGGACTAGACATGCCACTTCTGCTGGAGCTTGTAAAAGAATCTTAATCTTTTATTTACACAAGGAATATATTATGGGGAAACCTCTATCTCCAACATTTGAGGAGTCTACTATTTAAACGGTTGTACTGATGCTATAATAAAGTTACAACTCATGTTAAGAGTCTCCATTTCAGTTAAAAAAAAAAAAGCAGGATCATGTTCTCTTGGCTGTTTATGCAAGCCATGACTGGCACTGCCTGTTCTAAAGATTCAGTATTGCTGAAGATTTGAGAATAGTGAAGAAATGTACATGGTATGCTGTGCATAAATATTGGTCTTCCCCAGGTTCCCTGAACTACTTGGTCTTGCTAGTGTGATTTCTAAGGTCAGGTGTTGGCAGCCTTCAATACTGAGGAAATCCAAACCTTGGTTCAGATTTGGGTGAATGTGACCACCAACTCTATTACAGACTGTGCCATTCTAGACAGCAGCGGAAACAACTGAAGAGGCTAGGAGTAGACAAATGATCAAGATTAAATCTCAAAACATGAAATCCTCAGGTTTAGGATAACAGCACACAGTAGTGTCATCAGATCCGCTGTCCTTTGTGGTTGATGTCTGCTATCCATACTCTTTTTCTGGTTAGAAATATAGGTCCTAAGATTTTATCTATGATGACCTGCATATACTGCATGTAACTGACGGTTGACTGATACAGGATTAACAGGAGACCATTACTCTCTAAACCTGTAAAGTAGGATATGTTGGATTTTTCTGCAGAGAAAGTAATTGGATGGATCTGCAAGGCAGCCAAATGGACAGATGTCTGGACACTTTGAAGGCAATGCTATATATCTAGAGATAATAGTTAATTCTTTGAAGATGAAATGAGCTTGAAATGCAAATATTTATAATGAATTGTAAGTACAAGACCTAATGAATCTACAGTTTCATTAGTGAGGAGAAATGGGAAGATGCAGACATGTTTTTCCATATTAAAGTAGTAGTACAAAGGAATCATGCAAACTCAATGCCGTAGCCTTCTTAATTATCAGTGGTCAGCTGCAGAGATAAGGAGAAAGTGTTGAAGCTTTATTCCATTAGGAAGTCTATGGCATAAAAATTGAATTACCTTGCCCTCAAAGGTTTACAGATGGGCATTTCTGGTACAGAAGGAGGGAAACCAGTAGCCTCATCTGGAGCTACAAGAACTTTATCCATAAATCAAATTTAAGTCTTGACTCCTGATATGGTCACCACTGCTGAGCTCTCCAAGTTTAATCAGCATATCCTGAAAAGCATCATCCCCGTATGATAGCTCTTTCATGGGAACAAAGGCCAACAGGATCTAAACAAACAAACCAAGTCTCAATCTCTCAATTAACCTGTTAAGTAGGGGATATAGAATACTGAATCAGGACGTCCAGAAATGTGCGAAAACTTCGTTGACACAGAAAAATTCATTTGAACATCTGTTCATTCTTTCAGTTCCATGCACCAACATACACAATGGGGGATGTCTAATTCAATAATTTACCAGTCATGTTATTACTCCTCTCAGTTGCCATAAAGGAAGCTGGCACTTCCATATTTTTTTTCCACTGGAGCAAAAATAAAATTAAAAAGTTATGCTACTACAATCAGGATCTGCACTACTATAGAAGACATGGAGTACCAGTGTGACCCTATTCTGAGACACCTCTCTAGAACCATCTTGATTGTAAAAAGTGTCACTTAACCTTCCAGTCAGCCCTTCAGATGACACAGATCAAAATGGGACAGGTTGCTTAATTACAAATCAACTTGAGGCGTTAGAGTGCTGACAGATCTACTTCCCCTTAGGGTTAACTGGCTGCATAAAATGATCTGTTTTTCTGTTTGTGCAACATTCTAACATTTACATTAACTCTTCCCCAACCCCTCCAACTAATTAAGTGTATTAGGTGAATAGGAAACATATGATCCTCTGGGCTTCTTGAAAAGTAATGCTTCTTGGATTATTGGACTTAGCAGACCCTTGTTAGACTTCAATAAAATATAAAACCTTGGGATGAGGGAAGTGAGTTCAATGTTAGTAACCTGGGAAATCAACAACTGATCTTCAAATATAATAGATGTGCAAATGACCTTAGGAGACAGAGAAAAGAGATGCAGCCAAGGGATAAAAGGCAACTTAGTCCACAGCAGGAATGTGGGCAGGGCAAGCAGCTCAGAAGGGACCCTCTCTAGTTCCTTGGGCTGCAAAGGGGATGGGGGGGGGAATGTACTTTCAGACTTGTAAGATTCTGTTAATATAACCTTACAATATAGTGGAATTAGCTCATCTGGCCATGCTTCCTATTTGGTGTACCTCACAAGGTTGACATCAGTACACCTATTTAATCATTTCCATCCTCTTGCCTGATGGAGGAGAATGCAGCTATTTTAATAACAGAAATATTAATAAATCTGATTAAAGTCTCCAAAATCTTATCCTTTTCTGGCTCTTCTCAGAGATTTTCCTGAAAATATGTAATGTGGATCAGAATCACATCCCTGGCAGATCTTTTAGGGAAGGGCAAGTAAAATACCATAATTAAGCTGACTGATTTAAGCTTGTTCTTATAACCACTCTTTAAATAAGGTAGAAAATAGGTGAGTAGAAAGAATATCTATCCAGTTTTTGGACTAGTTCCTTTTATCAACCAGCTGATTAATAATATTGGTGATTAGATTCTTTTAAAAAATAAAGGGAAATAAGAGAACTGCAGCAAAATTGAAGACCACAGTTCAGGAAAGCCTTTCCTAATCAAACAGTATGGAAAAAGCTTCTTTGTAGAAAGAAATTTGCTTTATTCACAGTTCTTCCTGTCATTTGGAAGTCACGTCCATTATATTTTGCCATTACTAGGTGGCTTTCCAGAATTATAGTTTTACTTTTCTAAGGCTATTTAAAAGCTGCATTTTTGCAGTCAGCTGGTAACATTTTAGACAGATGCTTTTAATTTCCTAAGACTAAACAAAGATACAGCTGAATAGGAAGTTGGAAATATCCAAGCATAAGTGGTGCAAATTTCCCTAGCCATGATTTTAATGGAAGAGCTACCCTGTTGAAGCCTTGTACAGAGCCAAGACCTTCAAACCAACTGGAGCTTCAGGCTCCAGATGCTGACCTACATACATATGCTGCAAAGTGAGCCTTGGAAGCTGTGCCAAGCAGGGTCAACTATGCTAAGCAAATCTTGGAAGCTGTGCCAACCAGAAATATGGTACTCTCTTTTTTATTTAAGATATTAGAAAGTCCTAAAAAATAAATGAAGGAAAGGATATTACCTTGAAGAAAGAAAGTCTGAAGAAAAAGAGCTGAAAAGGAAGGGTTTTTTTTTTATCTGCTTGAATAGGAATATAATGCAAAAAAACCCCAAAACCTAAGTCACATGATTCCTTGTCTTCAGAGCAAGGAGGAGGAATTTTCTCACCTTGGTTATCTCTCATACCAAAGTTCTAGCACATTATACCATCAAAATATGGAAGCAAATTGCAAATTTCCACATGTTAGTAACCAACTGCTAATTTAAATATGTGTGGTTCCTACTCCTATAAGAAATTATAAAAAATACATTTAAAACATGACAAAAGCATAGACATCCTTTTGAAAATGCCTTTTTCTTTGATAATTTATGAATCAATCTATCTCAAACTGACAAACATTAACACGCACTGGTCAAGACTCAAGAGTAAGAAAATGTCAAAAATACTGATTTACCTTTGTTATGTTTGTTACACTTTCCTAATATTTATATACATGCAAGACCCATTTCTTAAGATTGAAACAGGCTACAGAGAGATTACACAATGCTTGAGAACAGGATTATAATGCTAATCTACCACAGTCAAAAGTCTTAGACTGAAATGTACTAAAATTATTTTGCAGTAGTTTATTTTACAGTTTTTATGCTGATTAAAACAGTCTAGCAAGACTTGATGTACTGAACCTCTATAAAAGTAGCCTTAAAGGGATAAGCAACTAACTTATCACAGAACAGGATCTGAATTTTTTAACACAGCAGCATTTAACTTAAAACTGATTAAAGACAGAGTGACTTTTTCTATCTTCATATAAGAATAGTTGTAAAAAGAAAATTCTTTTAAAAAGGTACCACTTCCAATGCCTTTATTTTCCATAACCTCGTGAAATTAAATGCATGAAGCTACAAAATTAGCAAATGCTTTGAAATTTGTATACAAAACATAAGTTACCTCTACTTTTAAACTCATTTTTTTTTGTTGTACCACTACAAACTTTTAAAAGTGGCACCCAAAATAGTTGTATACCATTCTAAAAAAGGGCACTATTCCTTTAATATCATACTCTCCCATTTCCCAACACCCAGATCAAAATAGACAACTAGTCATCCTGTTCACGGACATTTCCAAGGTGAGATTTCATATTACGTTCCCATAGCTTCTGGTTGTCAGAAAACCCGTGCTTTCCTTTGTTGAAAGAATTTGGTCCTGCTGAAGTTGGAGTATCCCTGTAAATGAACAAAAGCAATTGGTTTACCTTTACTAATTTAGTACTTTAGTTAAATATATTTGAAGAGGCTATTAGAAAATGGAAACACATATCCACATGCAGCTGACAGCAATGTTTATAATCCTAAAATATTATATTTGGACATAATTTCTGATGGCAGAAGGTAGACACAATAAAGATCTTTTCAACATACTGTTGAAAACTAGAAAGGATAAACCACAAGCTTGGTATGAATGAAATCCAATATATAGTCCCCTGACTTATTTGGAAATAATCTGGAAGAGCTACTCAACATTTTACATACAGCCATGCTACTAATATAAAAAATATTGCTCTACCATTTTCCTACAATGTTAGTACGAAGTATATTCTACCTTCCAATGTTCTTCATACGCATTTTAGCTTCTGGAGGCATCTCTTCAGGTTCACTCTAAGTAAAAAGAGAACATGGACACAATTATTTTGATGGTGTCAATATTGTTTATATTATGGGTGGATTTATTTATTGTTTTTGAAGGGGCTGATTTTTATTTTATCTGATCTTGATTGTCAGACCCCAGAGCTCTTGAGAACTGACAGCATATAAATCTATAAATCAATCACATATTTTAATTGTTATGTTGAAACTTAACAATTTAATATATTAACAATCTTATCTAACCTAAAGTTTACTGTTTAAAACCTTTTATTAGCATTAGAAGGACATAAGAAAATACAGCTCTTGTACTAAGGCAGTTTATTGCCCTTAGCCTACAGTACACAATCATTAACAATTAGGGCTGTGCAGCAATTCAGATTCAAAGGCAAAAAGGTGCTTGGGATTTCTAATGTAGCACTTCTCTGCAAGCCTTTAAAGCAAACACATATTTCCCAGGATTGGCAATGGCATGGTCATGGATAAAGGCACAACTTGTTTGTTTGCTGCTGCTGCTGCTGCTGCTGCTGCTGCTATTATTATTATTATTATTATTATTATTATTATTATTATTATTAAATTTGTACATGGCCCAGCTTCCAGCTACTCTGGGCAGTTCACAAGTAAAAAAGAAAAAAAACACATAAAGAAAATAATACAATGGTAAAAACAAAAAACAAAAGATGGCAAAACATGGGCAAGAACAAGAAGCAGACCCACACTACCCAGAAGGGGGCTTCAATCACCCTCACCGAAGGCCAGGTCTTCAAGGTCCTCCAAAACACCAGCAGGGTAGGTATTTGACAGGCTATAGATGTGTATTACATTCAGATTCTTGCACACTCCAAAGCACTGAATCCAAAGAACTGCACAACCCTATTGACTATCCTGACTGGAGATGATGGCACTAAATGGGGTAAATCTGAACTAGAAACATCAGATGCAGTGAAGAGAAGAAATGTGGATAGGAAATTCTTACTCCCACATCAAGATGACTTTTTAAATTAATATTCCCCTTAAAAGTGCTGTTACTAATATGGAAGGAGAACATGATATTGACATTCTAAAAAGAATATGAAGTAATGTGATCAATATGAAGTGAAGCCAAGACTACTATGTGTAACCAAAACATTTTCTGTATTCAATTCCTCATTGTGTTATTCAGAAGCAGAAATATATATATCAGACAGACAATTTGTGTTACCCATGGGGGTGAGTGGGGGTGGACAGATAGACACTATATTTTTCAACAGGTGAATGAAACAGAAAAAATGAGAAAAATCAACAATATAAAGATTAGAAAGATGCTTAGATGCCTACAATATATAATATGCAATAATTGGGATTTTTAAAAACAACTGAACAATTAAGTGTTTAACATTAGTAAAATCATACTTTAGACAAATCTTTATATACAGTTGTAGAAGAATAGAAGATAATGAAGGCATCCTCTTTCCTCCATCTAATTTTAGCCAGCTCCTATAATACTTTCAGTTACTTACATCTTCATCTTCATTGAATATTGCTGCTACAGAGAGTGTTTTCGGAGCTAAAGTTGAAGCAGGTTCTTTAGGTTTCTGAAAGAGAACAAAGGCAGTTTTATTGATACAAGGGATCAATACAATACAAATTAGGAATTAAAAGCATGCTACAAGCCTTAATCTTAAAACTACTTTACTAAACACAAACTGGACTAGATATTTTAACAATACTCTCCCTTTCCCCACTCCCACTCCTTTTATATGGGAAATAAAGCAAGACAGTTCAATACTACACTAAATCCAGCAGAAGGAAGGACAGAAGGAAATAAGAACAAACTCTATATACCTTATGAAACAAGTATGTATATGATTATTTTTCCCATATTGATTTGCTGCAGCATTGAGATCTATATATGATGTTCTCCTCCAGCTGTCCATCATCAGAATGTGGCTACTGGAAAGAGCCTTGATCATGGAACCTCTCTTGTAAAATGCTCTCTTGAGAGAGATTCCCCCTGAGCTTACTTTATCATTAATTTGGTGACTTCCAAGTAATGTTTACAATTTCCCAGTTTCTTAAACTTTAAATTTTATATAGTTTCAATGCTTTTGAACTTCTGTAAATATTTTTATTGACAATGTATGCATGCACATGTGTATTTATCTTTTATTTATTATGCTTCTAATCTACCCAGTAACTCCAGTTACTTTTTTGCAAGCCTTCACTGGAAAGGTAATTGGCCACTAAAGAAAAAGTATGTCTACAAGGTTTTTGTAATAAGCAACAGTAGCACTGATAGGAGTCTCTTGAGTAAGACTAAGTTGCTTTTTTTCTGTTGTTTTTTGTGCCTTCCAGTCAGTGTTGACTCCTGACAACTGCCTGCACAAGCCCCTGCAGTTTTCTTGGCAACATTTTTTGACACTGCCTTCTTCTTATGGCTTAAAGAGTGTGACTGGGCCAAGGTCACCCAGCTGGCTTCATGCCTAAGGTGGGATTAGAACTCATGGATTCCTGATTTCTAGCCCAGTGCCTTAACTACTACATCAAACTGGCTCTCTGAGCTATTAATTAGATTCCTATAAATGAATTCATATACCTTTAATCAAGGCTGAAGTATTAAAAATAAATTAATAATTTGTTTATTTTTGTCAGCATACAGCATTGCTAAAAGCTACACACATTACTACCACACTACAGCAAACATCAGAATAGAAATTATCACTATCTTCATATTCCCAGCAAATTCCATATCCCCTAATATCTATAAAATAATTAACTGTTCATCAGAACATGACAATAACAAACCATTTATAGTACATATGGCTCAATTAAGTTGAAATGAACATTTTTAGGACTATTTTTAATGTCAAATTAACATTTATCTATTCAAATAAAAACTGAGCATTATAACTTCAAAAAAACTTTCTAATAGCTTACATTTGCTCCAAGTTTGATGGAAATTGCAGATGGTTTCTTTGAAATCTGTGAGCCAATGGCAAACCCAAACTTGGACATTTTGGCAGGAGCAGGCTTTGTTGAGAAGTCTTCAGTATCTTCATCAGCTGCACGTTTCTCCACACTACGACTCGAGCTTTCCCCTCCATTACTGGAAGAAACAGTCTTAGTTTTCACAGGTTTTTCTGCCTCTTCTTCAGGTCCTGGTGAAGTCGAAACAACTTACCAAGATGAGCTATTTTTACTGAGTGGACTGATGGGAGCAGCAACCTCATAAAGCACTGTTATTCAGAGGCGACTTTTGCACTTACAGTGTCAGCACCTCCACAACTGTTTATACAGAGCACACTGTAAGGACATAGACATATAGTGAAGGGAGCTCCTATCACTTGGCTAATGCAGAATAAAAATAATTAATTATACGAAAAATATTAAAAAGAGTCGTGCATCTGTATGACATCCTTATGAAAACTGTTAGAGTCATTTCAAATCAAGCCAGAATAAATTCACAGAAATAATTTAAAGATCTAACTTTGAAAAATCTCAATTTATGCTGTCTTGAATTACAGAAATTACAGAAAAATAAAGTTCATAAAACTGAAAATTATAACATTTAAACCACAAATATTTATGCCACAATATAATTCTTAGATCTTGAATCTATCACAAAGCTTATTATTGGCTTATTGCAACAAAAAAACAAACACTTTGCAAATGGCTAAATGAGATTTAGTAACATTTATTTTATTTAACTAGTTTTTAAAAATAGTATTTGTTGACTGGAGTTTAGCTGATTCCCCAAAAACTAAGCAAAGCTGGACCTGGGTACTATTAGCATGGAAGAGCACCAGGAAATTCCAGTTATAGGCTACACTGTGAAGCTGAAAAAAACATCATGAAATAAGGCAATCATGTTGCTACTGGTGGCAAGAAAATGATGTGAATGTCCCTGTGAAGTCATGAGGAGTTAAGCTCAACTTGATAGTACATTTCCTTTTTATCAACCAAAAACCTATTCAAGATATCCATGCACTCCAAACAAACTAATCATTTTGCTTCATCTGGATAACTGCTACTGGTAGTTTATGATAATATTTTCTGATTACATGTCCTTGAAATAAATAAATATATATATAGGTTAAGGGGGAATGTATGATTTTAAACTATATATATATTCCCCCTTAACCTATAACAATAAAATCAGTAATAGATCCAAACTTGAATAGTATTTTTGAACAACAGTAGAATAATTAAGTTTATCTTGACATTAATCCTTGTCACTTTCAAAGATACTAAGATAAACTACAAAACAGAGGACTAGTTTGTAAGCTTAATTTAAATTAAATTTTACATTAAAGGTAGAGTTCTTTTCTAAGAGTTATCCTAAACATAATCATCCAGAAATAAATTTCATCAAATTGTGCACAATTTAGTTTCTGGTAAAAGCCCCCAAGTCACAAGTTAGCTTTAAGAGTATTTGAAATTAATGCTATGTAACCTATTTTAAAAAGTACTAAAAGTTTTTACACTCAACCTTTAAAAATAAAATTCAAATTGCATACACAGAATGCTTATTATTTCTCTACTGGTATGTATCTTTTAAAATTCAGGATTAATAAGTGCTTTAAATATACTTTCAAATTTCTATTATTCTACAAAGATTTTTATAGAGTTTATAAAGGAGGTCTGCTAAACTTCACAGACACTGAAGCATATAAAAATGTTTCTCATTAAAATCATTCCTTTGTCTAAACTGATGTGGATTCTTCTTTTATGTCAGGGAGGTTCAATTTGGCCTTCAAGTGGCTTGGCAAGTGCCATACTCCAAAAGATAGTGACAGCACTAGATCAAAACATAATTTGATTTTATTTAATAGTTGCTGATAAATAAAACAAAAGAATGAATATGATTACTGTTTCTTATGTATTTAATAATTTCCTCTGTCACATTAAATATTACAATCTTGTAAGTTTCGGAGATTTCTATGGGCCATATCTAGCATTTTTGGGAAATATATGGTTTAAAGTTGGATACCACCATTCATACTGTAGTAAACTTGGGAACTGCTTTCAGAATGTGACCCCCATCCCTTCCCCAGGTATATGATTCCTTATATATTTAGAAATCCTACTTCATATTGGGATAATTAAAAATAGAAAAATAGCAAAGTTTCCATTTTAGAGTCATTGGCAAGTAGGCAGCCTTATATATTATAAATGAATAAAATAATTTAGTCCTCAACCCTAAACAATTATAAACAAATAAATTATATAATACTTTCAGAACATTGTAAACTTTGATGCTGGCATACAGCATCAGAAAAATATATCTGCATATGCTCTTCTGAACCTGTTCTACACTGAAAAAGCATAGAATCAAACATTAGATTGTAACAGAACACAAGGAAGAGATGGTTCCAGGTATATCCTAGAACCATTGGGCAATCTTGCTGGTTATATTAATAACCTGCTGTTCACTACTGCTAATTAGATATTTATCCCTTTTTGGCCCAGGCATTCCAATAGAACAGTGTTTCTCAACCTTGTTAACTTTAAGACGTGTGGACTTCAACTCTCAGAATTCCCCAGCCAGCCCTGCTGGCTGCGGAATCCTGGGAGTTGTAGTCCACACGTCTTAAAGCTAACAATGTTGAGAAAGACTGCAATAGAACATCTTCCCCACTATCTTCAAATTTTAGTTAAATACTTTAAATCACTTGATTTATAATGGTTGTTGTATACACTTTAAGAGATGGTCTCAATTGTATACAGTGGGGCAAAAAAGTATTTAGTCAGCCACCAATTGTGCAAGTTCTCCCACTTAAAAAGATGAGAGAATGATTTGCAAATAAATTCTTTAAAAATCAGACAATGTGATTTTCTGGATTTTTTTCCTCATTTTGTCTCTCATAGTTGAGGTATACCTATGATGAAAATTCTCTCTCATCTTTTTAAGTGGGAGAACTTGCACAATTGGTGGCTGACTAAATACTTTTTTGCCCCACTGTATATTACCTACTGGATATAGGCTCTCTCATCTTTTTAAGTGGGAGAACTTGCACAATTGGTGGCTGACTAAATACTTTTTTGCCCCACTGTATATTACCTACTGGATATAGGCTCTCTCATCTTTTTAAGTGGGAGAACTTGCACAATTGGTGGCTGACTAAATACTTTTTTGCCCCACTGTATATTACCTACTGGATATAGGCTCTCTCATCTTTTTAAGTGGGAGAACTTGCACAATTGGTGGCTGACTAAATACTTTTTTGCCCCACTGTATATTACCTACTGGATATAGGCTCTCTCATCTTTTTAAGTGGGAGAACTTGCACAATTGGTGGCTGACTAAATACTTTTTTGCCCCACTGTATATTACCTACTGGATATAGGCTCTCTCATCTTTTTAAGTGGGAGAACTTGCACAATTGGTGGCTGACTAAATACTTTTTTGCCCCACTGTATATTACCTACTGGATATAGGCTCTCTCATCTTTTTAAGTGGGAGAACTTGCACAATTGGTGGCTGACTAAATACTTTTTTGCCCCACTGTATATTACCTACTGGATATAGGAAAATTACAGGCCTCTCTCATCTTTTTAAGTGGGAGAACCTGCACAATTGGTGGCTGACTAAATACTTTTTTGCCCCACTGTATATTACCTACTGGATATAGGTTTATCTGAACATGATAAACCTATATTCAGTTGGCAATATATACAATTGAAACATTACTGACAAAACATTATAGTCCAGTGCTTTAGCACCTACAATCCTAGAATCCTTGAGAGATGGAAATCCTGAAGTGAATCCAACAATTCAATTTTATACAGAACTGAAAAACAGAATGAAGGTAGAACAGAGAAGTGAAATACCTAATCTTGGAAAATCAATGGGTTCAGGTTTTAAATGTCGAGCATACTTCTTTTGACTTAAAGTGAAAATAATTCAACAGGACACATTCTTTCATGTCTATTAGACCCCTCAAAGAAGGTCTAAACAGGATTGGATATCAGATTTTTTGTGTTGGCATTTCTTTAAGTCATATGATATGGTCCTGTCCAGACATAATTTTCTTTTGGTTTCAAATTATAATGTATAATTATACAACTTTGGAAAGAAATATAATAATTAATGATGCAAATGTGAAGTTCAACCATATTCCTAAAATACGGAATTTGTCATTTTATGAAGAGCTTTGGCTCTACTGAGCTTGGGATTGGCAAGCAGGATAACTTTATGTAAATGGAAAGAAACTTAACTTGTTGATTCCAAGGAATGGATTGAGGGTATGACCTTATCTATTTTTGAAAAGTCTTTCTGTTCTAAAAATGAGAAGATGAAGCCATGTTTCCATACGATCTAGATTTAATAATGACCTAAAGGATTTAATTACTTCTATATTGATAAAAGAATATACAGATTTTTTTTAACATCTTAAAATTTTCCTCTTTTTTCTTTTTTTGCTATACTTACTTTAATTATAACCATATATATGTATGTGTATGTGTTTATTTTATTAAATTTGGAGGCCACTCGACTCTAGGCAACTCTAAGCTATTTCTGATTCTTGTAGATTCTTTTCTCATTATATAACCACTGCTTTTTCTGTTGAAGTTGTAGTTGTATTCTGCTATTAAAAATAATAAATCCTGTTGCTAATTGGAGATTACTCTCAGGAGATAAAATGATAACTAAGAGATTGCAATTTGCAGAGTTTCATCAAGCATATGTTTATCTTTGTAAATAAAAACCGTCTGCATATTTACTTCATTATTAATAAAACATTCCTTAATTTTCAGTCCTTTCTTATTAGAAGTCCCATGCGTTCTCACTATGAAGTACCTTTCTGGTCACCAAAAGATGGACCCAACAGAAAAGTCTTTCCATCTCTTCTACTAGAAGACATGGCTTCTTCCCATCCTGTCAAAAAACCTGCTTCCTTCAAACACACTCAATGACCAACAGAGTACAGGTGCTTTTTTATTGTATGTTTTACTATAACAACACCTGCCATGGCCAAGGAACATATGGGAAATGGAAGAAGAATGTATAACAATTAAAAACAGTAATTATAATTTTGACCAACTGGACTGCAATGCCTCAGCAGAACTGTGTCTTGCTGGTTGAGTACACCAGAACATTCTCTATTAGACATGCAGGTAGTCCTTGTTTAGCAACTGCATCATTTAGCAACCGTTC